TTTCAAAAGCAGGATACACATATTGATTCTTACTTGAATGCTCCTCCACATACCTTCCCCTTACAGTACATCGTTGATTATGGGATTTACCCCTTTCGTTGTAAATCACTGTGTAATATAAAGGACTATATCCAGAAGACAAACTCGGCGAAGTCAGCTGGTTTATTCTATTCGGATGTTGAATTCAGAGAGACCTAAATCGTTACTCAATTCATTCCGTGCGCACGACAAGCCTGTTGACCATGTCGTAAGCGTCCTGACGTTGAATTGCCCTGGACTGACAAGCCCACGAGGCTTAAGAACATGCAATTCAATTGATAGTGCATCACTTGCAACCCTATTTGGCAACGAGCTTGGGCAAGCGACTAAATTATTATCTGATGAAATGGTGCGAGTCGGAATGAGGGTCAAAGGGAGAGGGCTGTGAGGCAGAAGACAAAGAAATGAACAAAAGTTGGGATGCCTGAACAGCATCACTACCCAAAACGCTCATTGCAATGGGCAGCGTGGGTATGAGTGGCGAAGGATGCAGTACGGAATTCTTTAAGGTTTCTGCATTCATCAAAATTTGATGGACAGATGTCGCTAGAAGGTTCTAACAATATGCAAAACGACTAGGGTTTTCGGCCAAAACCTTTAACTATGAGAACAACCTGACCGCGGGGTACCAGGTCAGGTGAATTGGAGACCGGTCCACTTTTGTAAGCCAAGGCCGTAACTCAAGGTGCAACCCCAATCTGGAGGACCAGAATACTGAACTTCGTTTGAACTTGACGCGTTGATCTTCCAATGAAGATAAGACTTCCGGCTGAATAAAAGCCATTCTTTTAACTCGTTGAGTCATAGAGAGGCGAAATACATCACAACACGTCAAAACAGCCTCTATGTAACGAAGTATTACACCTACATAAATGGTTCGTCGCCCTTAGAACCGCGGCTTGGTTTATCAGCTCCCACAACTGAACAAAAAGCTTTTGTGAATATGGGGTCCATCTTATTCTTATGTTTATCACACAAGGGATTGTTAGAAAAATAATACGTACCTCCCTCTCGATGAGGTCATCCAACGAGATAACCTCTTTTTGCTCTTCCAGTCTCTTCTGATCCCGTTTGAGCATGAATCCTGCGAACAGATGATCAGTATGCAACCATCAACTTACCCGGTGGTAAAGCATGTCTATAGTGACACGTCTTCCCGTTCGGGCATTCCCAAAACCAACCATACTTGTAATTTTCCACGGCTTCCAGGAAATATTTACAAACCTGCAGGTGAGTAAAATCTTTAGAAACGGTCAACTTACTATGGTTGATGGTGGCAACCCCTTATTTGTATCCTCATGCTTTTTCGAAACCACCTCCTCTAGTTTATTAATATCCCAATCCTCCATGGATTCCTCAACTTTTTCCTCCTCAGAATAGATTCCACGTTTTTCACTTTTCCTTTCGATGGTCAAATCGTGCGAAAATTTGCACTTGTCCCCTTTGGTACATTGTCCCTGTTTGTAGAAGATGCATAGCACTGACTTTGGATCCACACCTAGCAAACACACATGTAAATGCAAAAAGTGTAATTTTTGTAATCAACCTTTGGCACATTTTTGCAGCTCAGTGACAGGTTTGAACAACTCATTTAACTCGGCCTTCTCAAGTTTCTTCTTCTCTTTCTTTTCTTGTTTTTCTCGTTCCAATCGCTCAAGCTGATCAACAGTATGGTGAGAATGAATTGATTACTAATGCATACATCTTTGGCGGATTTATTTCCCAAAGTAACTTGTTTTTGAACTTGTTGAATAAATTTCTGTTGTTTGGCGCCTTTCTTATTTTTTAACCCAAATGTCTTATCCTGTGTGAAAATGTTAAGAGTAAGGGTAGACTAAATGGAAAGACTAACCTCAATCACTTTTTGTTTCTGTTTTTCCACCACCTTCTTAGAAGAATCTGCTTTCTTTGGAGGCATGTCTTTCTCTGAAGGAGGGAAGGAAACAAAAAGAGAAATGTCAATGCAAATACAGAGTTTTGTAAAAATAAAAAGGATTACGTAAACAAAGTGAGGTTGGTTATTTATTTTTAAACATTTACCGGTTCAAACCGGGGGATTTTCCAGCATCATTTAAAAAATACAAAACCTTTTACATGGAGATAAGTTAGCTTTATTAAGGGTTGGAAATATAGCACAAAATGACAAACCCAGCACCCCTCCGTTTTATTCGATGACCACGAGGAATTAATTCAATCAATATTGCATCTAAACTTCTCGCTGGCATCACACTCCGTCGATTGTCTGCCGCATGCGAACGGTGCACGCGTGAGAACCAGGCTGGTTTTAGACCTGGCTGATGTTGTACCGACCACATCTTCACTCTTCGCCAAACTCTGGAGCACCGACATTCTTTTCATAGACCCACTATCTTTGTTTTCCTGGATCTGAAAGCAGCTTTCGACTCGGTCGACCGCTCTAAACTCTGGCGCTACCTCTGCCGGAAGGGTCTGCCCGAAAAGTTTGTTTCAATATTGCGACCTCTTTATACCTATAGCTGAAGCCGAGTCCGAGATTACGACAATTCTCAATCGACTTCACCACGGAAAGTGGCATTCGTCAGGGTTGCTCTCTCTTTCTCCTTTCCTAGGTAACTTTGTTATAGATTTTATTATAGAAACAGCCCTATCTTCGTGCGAGAATAGTGACATCGATTTGCTACAAAGTGGCAGACTGTCTGATATGGAGTGTGCAGACAACATTGTGCTGCTAAGTGAAGATCCAGATAAGTTGCAAGCTTTTATGGATAGATTGAGTGTCAGCGTAGCCATGTTCGGTATGCGTTTTGCACCTTGAAAGTGTAAAATGTTGCTCCAAGATTGGCGTGGTTCAGCACCCAGCCTCATTCTAACTAGAGAAGTAATAGAGCAAGTGGATGGACGCATCACAGATGAAGTGTCCGCTCGCATCAGAAGACTCGGCTGGCATTTGCAAACTTGAGACATCTGTGGCGCAATCGCGACATCCGGCTGTCCGTGAAGGGTCGAGTGTATGCCGCGGTAGTTAGGCCAGTTATTCCAAACGGAGCAGAAACGTGGTCATCACAAAAACAGGATAAAGATAGACCATCGAGGTCTGAACACCACTGTCTACGCAGCATGGAGCGAATCTGATAGGGCAGCCGGACGAGCAACGCCGAGGTTTAGGTATATAGTGGTCTATAAACAAGGACTTTCTAAAAGCATCTGTTTGTGCCACAAGACCGTGTGACGAATGGCAGTAGCAGTGAACCTCTTTGGCGGAGGGTCTACTTTTCAGCCATGGGGCCGGTAAAAAGCCTTTGGAAGGCAGTACTGCAAAATATTTTTAGATTCTAGACAGGATCAGCGAGCATGAACCCGATAACCAAAACAAAATCGTTCAGTTATGAAAACGGAGACCCAAATTATGAAACTTGGAGTGCTCAAGTACATAGTGCTGGAATCGAACAGTAGACGGTGGAAATCTGCCTACAGAAACTGATTTAATCAACCACAAGCTGACGGACCGTAAGATGAGGAGAGAAGTGGGGAATTCGACCACACAATCTCTCAACCACTGCATGTTCTGAGTTAAAGTACATAATTCTACGGATGAACCTGAAAGGGTCAACAGCTGGGTTTACTACTAGGACACTCATTTATTTATATCAACGACCTGACATGAGATCTCTAAATTCACTGGTTCATGTCAGCGGATGATGTGCGGGTAACGGGAGTAATTACAGAGGAAATCGAGGCTGATCGATTTATAGTGTGAAATTTTAACAGCAAAAGCTGAAGGCTACCATTGAGGCACAGCGAAGGTAAAGGGTTTACTTGTTCCCAAAAAGACCTTTGAACTGGAGGTATAACAGGTGAAGACAACTCTTCAGAGTGTGCTATAATTATCTGTAGAAAAGGAAAACTTTGTCCCTGCATATAAGACCTTTCTTCGCCCACACCTAGAATACTGTGCAGCCACGGGTGCCATACTAAAGACGGAGTATAATGCTTAGTAAAGATACCGCGTGTAACCACCCGAATGGTAGCCAGACAACCATCATCATCAAGGTTAGTGGGAATGCGTAAGGAAGATAGGATGGGGCCTATTTTTAGGGACGGGAAAAGAAAGCGATCATCGCCCAGAATACACACGTTTTCGAGAATTCCCTTATGATAAGTGACAACAGGATCGCCACTGCTATCAGTTTGTTGGCATGACCTTCAGTGTCTCTAACCATCCAGTTACGGAGTCTTTTGGACTCCAACCCGGAAGGCGAGAGACACCTATCCTACCTAATCGTTCTGTGCATTTCTTCAGGCCTCGTCTTCGCGTCATTTGCCGGCCTCCATGTGGCTTTCTCCAGTCTGCAGCGGTCACCCCCTCACTCCATCCCACCTCGGCAAAACTACGTAGGCACCGATTATCGAAAACCAATGGGTGACGGATATCTGCTACCCGCAAATTCAAGGTCTCACAACCGTACAGAATAACTGATTGTACAATGGAGCAGCATTCGCGAAATGTCAACTACAGTGAAACGTTACATCGCCGCTAAAGGTGATTTAGTCCTGCGTACCCTGCCAGAGCCTCGGAAATGCGGGTGTTCATCTCCTTTGATGCGCTACCCAAGTGGGGAAAGCATTCAACTTCAACTAATTCCTGACCATCGAAGTCTAGAACGGGACTCGGTGACACCCAATATTGCAGCATCATTTTGCACTCTGAAGGTGCAAAGCGCATGCCAAACAGAACTACAGAACTGGTTAGTCTAACAAGTGCGCTTTGTGCATCCTCCATTCATTCGAACAGACAAACGAGGTCGTCCGCGTACTCTAAATCGCGCAGTTTTTCTCCATTCAATACCTACGTTTTGGAGACCATTAAGTGCGTTCTCCAATATTTCATCTATGACGAAATTGAACAGGAATGACACAAGAGAGCACCCTTGACGAACACCGCTGCTAGTTACGAACGACCTACTCAGCTAGCCGTAGATCCTTACGCCACCAGAATTATGAGTAGAGTGTATTCAGTATGTTCACATACTTCTGTGGCATTCGTCGGCGAAGGAGCGAACCCATAAGGGATTCGCGGTCAATTGAGTCGGTTCCTTTTAGGCCAAGGAATACGACAACCGTTGATCGACGGTGTGCATGGTGTAGCTCGAGGAATTGAGCCACAGTGAAGATTTGATCGACACAAGCGCGATCCGGTCGAAATCCGGCTTGTGTTTTGCGGCATTCGTCTCCTTAAACGGTGTTGGACTTCGAAATATGACGGAGGTTAATAACTTGGTGACGATTGGGATCAGACTTATTTCACGGTGGCTTGCACAGTCGATGTGAGGGCCCTTCTTAAAACTTGGAACGATCAGTGATTCGCTCCTGGATGACGGAATGCGCTCTTGTGACCAGATGTTACGCATTAGATGAGTAATGTAGTCTACGAGGTCATCCCCCCCCTCATCTTGAAAAGAGTGGGAGCAAGCCCGACCGGTTCTGCTACTTACATTTCTTCAGGGTTTGGATGCAAGATCGTACTTCTGCTTTAGTAGGAGGTTCACATGGCACTGCCCACGGAGCCTCAGCTACAACAGACNCCGTTGTTCTCGATCGTGAACGACCTGTCTACTTTGTCATAAATTGTTTCACTAAATGTGGTTCGACGACCTACCGTGTCATCATTATCATCATTGTACGGCGTAATACAGTGAAGCGAACTTCACTGATGATTGCGTACCAGTTGGAACAGTCTTTGACTATTCCTTGATGCAGCTGCTAATTCCATTTTGTTAGATATTGTTGCCCACCGGTTCTCGCGGTCTTTCTTAAGGCTCTTCGTGAGCTGACATTGCAGACACCACCTACCCTGCTTTAATCCCGGGCGGTCGGGATTTGTCGCTTTTTCTTCATCAGTGCTACTGACACATGAGATATCCAATGCCTCCGACGGGCCACCGCTTTAGATCCACAAGCAACCTTGGTAGCGATCAGTGAAGCTCGCTTCACTGTATTTCGCTGTACGATGATGATGACAAGCAACCTTCGCTGCAGAGTGCATTGCTCGGTTAATCTGACCCCATTATTCATCTACACCACCACCCCGCAGCGCGTTTAGCTCTTATCCTAGTGTTATAATTCCAAAAGGCGGTGCTAGCACACGGTAATGTATAGAGCAGTCAATAGTTATTCTTCCAAACATATCACTTGGCCCTTGATGGTCATGTTATATTTTTGATCATCGAAATTTACCTACTACTCACAAGTATCTCACGACACTAGTTCTGATTCAAAACGGGCACGAACGGCTGAGTCAGATAAACGATGATTTGCCAATCGAGTTTGGTGGGGCTTCCTGCGACCAGTGAGTTGGAGTCGGTCGCCATTATCTGTTCTCTAGCAGGGCAGAGCACAACGACTGCCTAGGCAAGCTTCCGATGCGCTCAGTTTTTCAACATTTTTATTTATTACACACTTTTGTGTGATGAATAGCAGACGGGGTAAACCCCTTAGTCATGAGGACCTACTGTTGCGTGACGGAAACCGGTAACATAAGCGCCCGGACTTGGAGTGGTGAACCATACAAGGCCCCGGTAGGTTAGGTATGCTATTGAGCCGGACGACAGCAAGGCTGTTTACCACCAAACATGGGTGGCGGGGATCGAACCTCAAACCATAGGGTCCAAAGCACGTCGGTGACAGCGACTAAACCACTGAGCCACCACCACCACTTGCACGTTAAAATCACCTGTGAGAACAACTATATCGGAGATTCGGCTCAACCGAATGAGTTCGGCGGGTTTATCATAGAACTCGTCCTTTTGTGCGTCAGAACTGCAGTTGGCGCAGTCAGTATATACGCTGAAATGATGAAAAAAACACCTTTTGGTGTTGCCTCTCCTGCGGACGCTGATAGACCTCTGAAGCCGCATCGCGCATAAGTGATTGTGGACAGGG